GTGAGCACTCAGGGTTGATTTCCTTTAGAACTGATAGGTTTGTTCTCCTTGCAGTCCAGGGGATTCTCAAGAGCCTCCTCCAGCACCACAATTCAAAAGCATCAATTCTTCGGCGGTCTGCTTTCTTTATGGTCCAGCTCTCACATCCATACATCACAACAGGAAAAACCATAGCTTTGACTATTCGGACTTTTGTTGGCAAGGTGATGTCTCTGCTTTTTAAGATGCTGTCTAGGATTGTCATCACTTTCCTCCCCAGAAGCAGGCGTCTTTTAATTTCGTGGCTGCTGTCTCCATAGCCCATAGAAACGCATTAAAACCCAATTAATGCGTTCCTAGGGGGTTGAAGCTCACCGTCCAGCGAAGATCCTCCATAGCGCGGCCATTTTCGCTGCCTGTGCAGCGAGGAATCCGTGCCAGAAAAGAGCGGGCGGCCATTTTGTTTACCTGGTGGCCATTTTGAAACCGCTGATCAGCTGGCCGAAAATCATTCCTTTGCTATGATTGGTTCCCGAAGCAGGGAACACATCATCGCAATGCGAAATTCCCCCATAGGGGAATATCGCAAAACCATAGACGTCTAGTGATTTCGTCGTCAAATGGAGCACCCGTTAAGCGAGGCACCACTGTACACGGAAAAATACGCTATATATTCCCAGGACATTTTTTAAAAAAAATATTTTTAAACTGTGGATAAGTGAATTAGCAGATACAGATCTTGTGGATGTGGGGGCTCCTACTGTATACAAAGCCACAGCCTCCCAATAGCCACGCAATGCAAAGGAGACTTTGGATATGAGAAACTGGCCTGTGATGGCAGGAAATAGCTATGGCTCGCCTTACCATTTGCCCATCACAGAAACCGGTGAGAAAGATAGGGAGGGACGGAAATTTCCCCCTCCAAAACTCTTAAGGGTTGCCCTTTCAGGAAAAGTAACTCTGCTGGAAAACAAATCCTGTGATGGCGGGAAAAAGCTATGTCCGCCCTACCGTTTGCCCATCACAGAAAGCGGTGAGAAAGATAGGGAGGGACAGAAATTTTCCCCTCCAAAACTCTTAAGGGTTGTACGTTCAGGAAAAGTAACTCTGCTGGAAAACAAGGCAGGCTTTGCAAACCGGGCTTCTTTTTTAGCTGGGGGGGAAAGAAATCTGGTTTTCAAAATGGAACAGGATACGAGAAGCACGACTTTCTGTTTTCACAAGCAGGAATTACACTGGGACCTTCGCTCACCCCTGCATTGCACTCTCTCACACACAAAGACACACACACACTCCTGTGAGGTGTAAGGGGGTCTTCTCTCCTTCATCAAGCTAAGGAAATCCCTTCAAGATTCTAAACCAATCCTTTCTTAACTCTCTTTTGCCTAAGGGGCTGCATTTTCATGGGTCAGGCTCCAAACCGCTTCAGTGCAGGGAACTCCATCTTGGGTGGAACCGGCTGACTGCACCAGGATGATGGGAATGGGTGTGAGGATCGAAACACCAGCATCTTTTTTGGGTCCCATCTTGGGAAGAAAGATCTACAATGGACAGATCCCTACCTAGTATTTCAAGCACTTATCTAAGAGGACAAGGTGGAGTTTGGCCGGGGGGGGAGGGCACGAGCCCGGGCTTGGAAGCCAGGAGGACTCCAGATCCCAAAGGGAGGATTCCTACATATCCGTCAATGATCTCTCACGGACCATCACAGATAGACCAGCGATTCCCAACCTTGGGTCCCCAGATGTTCTTGGACTACAACTCCCAGAAGCCTTCATCCCTAGCTGTGCTGGCCAGGATTTCTGGGAGTGGCAGTCCAGGAACATCTGGAGACCCAAGGTTGGGAACAACTCATCACGGACCACGTGCAGAGGCCAAACTGAGCACAGAGCATCTCAACAAATTATCTTTGCAATACGGTGCAGGAAGGCTGGGAGGCAGAAAGGGCCCCCCCTCGTGCAAACCAGGGCCCCGTCCACCCTGCCCTGAGAAAGGATGGGTTTGGGGTTCAAGCGGCTCTGCTCTCCCGGAGCTCAGAGGAAGCGAAAGACTGGGAGGTGGAAAGGCCCCCCCCCTCGTGCAATCCAGGGCTCCGTCCACCCTGCCCCAAGAAAGGATGGGTTTGGGGTTCAAGCCGCTCTGCTCTCCCGGAGCTCAGAGGAAGCGGCTCACCTTGTTATGGTTTGCAATGAGCCTGTAGTCGGACTGTGTTTTCCCAAACTGCTTCATCTTGTCCCGCAGGGCGTTTTCCATATCCTTGCACTTGGCCTGCGGGGGAAAAAAAGGGAGGGGCGGGGTGGGGGAGAAGAAGGTCAGAAGTTGTAATAAAGTCTGAAAGTAAGACTCAGGGAAGAAAAAGGAGACACAAAACCTGGAAGCACAGACAAAGGAGGGATATGAAAGCTCCTGGGGAGATTTTGCAACCTTGCATGCCACCTTTTAGTAGGACTGTCAATCTATCCAGTATTAACCAATGGTTCCCTCCCGTTCTGACTTCAAAGAGGTCCCCGCCTCTCTGCTCAGTGCTGTTTCCCTCTCTAGAGTCTGTTGAAGTCTGTTGTCCAAAGCAGTCATGTTTGTTAGTTTCTCTCAATCTGTTCACAATGGTAAGTAATGAAACTTTTTTGGTTCTTTCTCTTCTCAGTGTCTCAGATCCAGTTACTGAGACTTAAAGCACCAGTTATTGAGAAAAGGGGTGGACTGCTCTGGGGAACTTGAAGCTTATCTGCTCTACTAATCCCTGCACTTCTGCTGTGCAGCTAGAGGAATTCTATCAAAAATCTAAACTCTGCCGCAGTCCCCCCCAAAATCAACTTTTCTAGTCCCCCCCAAAATCAACAAGCTTGGGAGCAGGGGGAACGACACGAAAAGCATCGCCTCACGCCTGCCAGCTTTACCAAGAGACAAGACCTGCTTTGTTCCTTCCTCTCTACAACTATTTCCGTCCACTTGAACGTTGCAACCGTTCTTTATCGCCTGGGGAGCTGGTCCTTCTGCGTCTTTCAGATGGAGCCTGCAAGCCGGGGTAACCTTGTTATTGGTCCCGCGCAGGGGCTCTGGTGTAACTTCGGCAAGCCCCCAGGGCGCAGGCAGTGAGGCAAACCATATATCCAGAAAGGGCAAAAGTTGTTCTTAAAAGAAAAGAAAAATAAAAAACAACACCCCAAACATCTACAGTTTTAGTTTTGGAGGATCAGAGAATTCTGTGGGTTCAGGAAGTCTCTCTAAATTTTTTTTTAAATGTAAAACCTGTTGTTCACAAAGATCTGCAGGATAGCCACCACATTTTCAGAAAGCCTAACAAGGGCGGACATGAGGATGACCCCAGAAATGGCCCGAGGGGGACTCCCGAGCTGATGGAACGGCTGGGTGGGTAGCTCAATGGTTTAGGAATCTGGTGAGGAGCTCAACTGACCTCCTTGATTACCATGTGACGTGGCTACAAAAAAAGGCCGATGCAATTTTAGGCTGCATTAAGCGAAGTAGAGTTTCCAAATCTTGCCAGGGGCTCGTTCCCCCCCCCCCCCCCGTTCTGCACTGGTGAGGCTTCCCCTTGAGCCTTGCGTCTGGTTCTGGACACCACACACCAAGAAGGATGCTAACCAATTGGGACAAGTTCAGAGGGAGGGCGACAAGGAGGATGATGGGGGCTGGAAAGCAAGAGTCTGTACTCTTCCTTGGTGGCCTGGCCTTCTTTCCATTTCCTGCACTGTACATCTCTCTCTTTTTTTGTTTTTAGATCCTCCCTGAGCTTTTTGTGAAGCCACACTGGCCTTTTATTCCGCCTCCCCCCTTTTTTCTTGTTGAAATTGTTTGCAGTTCTACCTTTAGAATTTTTTTTAAAAAAAGAAGCTCTCGCCCTTCTTGGTCTCCTTTTCTTGTTAGGATCTCCTGCCATGGGACCTTCCTTATCCTTGTTCTGAGATTATTAAAATTGGCTTTAAAAAAAAAAAACCCAGCAGACATGTGCGCCTACACTCTGCTTTCCTTTCCTTTGAAATCAAGGATTTGAGAAGGCCGTGGTCCCTCTGGCCAAGAGTTCCCCTTCCTGCCGCTCCCCCCCCCCACGTCATCTCTGTTGGTCAGAAGAAGGCCGTGGTCCCTCTGGCCAAGAGTTCCCCTTCCTGCCGCTCCCCCCCCCCAAGTCATCTCTGTTGGTCAGAATCAAGGATAACAAATCCTCTCGTTTCTTTCTCCTCTTCTTGGAGGAGGAAATGATCAGCCACACGAGCCAGGCATTTCTCAGAAGGGCCAGACTTAGCAGAATTGGCCTCCCGACGTATATCTGGATAACTGAAACCTCCCATCGCTACCATGTCGTGTCTCTTTGAAACGCTTGCAATTTGTCTTGCAAAAGTTTCATCCGCTTCCTCTCTTTGATGCAAAAGTTTCGTCTGCTTCCTCTCTTTGAGAGGGTGGTCGGTGGTAGACTCCAACTACCAAGTTCCTTTGGTAGTTGGATTTTTGGGTTTTGTTTTTTTTTTTTGCCCCAACTAGATTGATCCAGATGCTTTCGATGGAGCAGCCACGCTCCTCCTCCTGTATTTCTGTGCAGGAATGTGTGTTTTTTACATACACTGCCAGTCCACCTCCCTTTTCATTCTCTCTGCTCTTTTCGATCAGTTTATATCCCTCAATTGCTGTATTCCAGTCATGGGCATCATGACTTGAACAGAGCAAGTTTTAGTTATTCCTGTCATCTTACTTGAATAGAGCAAGTTTTAGTTATTCCTGTCATCTTTGTTGCCCACTTTGGAACATGCTCCAGTTTGTTGCCATCCTTATTAAAAGTTTGGTGCTCATGACTAGACACAGGACTCTGGATCAGGCCTAACAGGTCCACTTTGGAACGTGCTCCAGTTTGTTGCCATCCTTCTTAAAAGTTTGGTGCTCATGACTGGACACAGGACTCTGGATCAGGCCTAACAGGGCCAAACAGAGCCAGACTAGAACTTCATGGAACTGGGAGACTAAACTTCTGTTAATGCATCCAAAAATCACATTGGTCTTTTTTGCAGCCACATCACACGGCTGGCTCACATTCTGCTTGCAATCTAAAATCATTCCAAGATCCTTCTCCCTCCTAGTATTACTGAGTCACGTATCCCCCCATCTTGCAATTGCATTTGCACCAGTGTAATCCAGGTCTTCAGTGTGGAAGGGACTGTGTTACTCTCAAATTGGCCTTCTCAGCCACACTAGATGCTGTTCCAAGACCTCTATTCAGAGCATGTGACCATCATCTCTCGAGAGTGAAGGATGCCTACAAAAACATATCCAGATCAAATGCTGGAAACATTTAATTTACACCGATTGAAAAGTTTTCTATCCTCTGTCCCTCCTTTTAGGTTCCAGTGTTGCCGAGGGCTCCCTTTGGTCCTGAGGAAGCCTTGGGAGCCTCAGGAGGGTGGCCTCTAAAAGTCAAAAATTACTGCGGTGTCACCACCCAGCATTCTGCCAGCATTACAAATGCAAGTAAAATAGCTAACAATTTGGGGAGCACACTTTTTTTGTTTGCTTGCTTTGTTCCTGCAGGAATTTATTTATTTTATTCTTTTATTTTATTTATTAGATTTTTACCCCACCCTTCTAGACAATGTCTACTCGGGTTGGCTTACATAGTTAAAAGCACATCAATATAACAAAAATAAAATCACATAATACAATTATGACAATGAGCAAAGCTTTCATTGCACCGGTTCCCAACCTTCGTTTCGTTCGTTTAGTCGTGTCCGACTCTTCGTGACCCCATGGACCAGAGCACCCAACCTTGGGTCCTCAAATTTTGTGGACTACAACTCCCAGAAATTGTGGCCAACCCAGCTAGTGGTGAAGGCTTCTGGGAGTTTTAATCCAGGAATATTTGGGCACGCAGTAAACCATACTGCTGGATAGCTCAGTGGTTGAGGTCTCTGCCTGTGGAGCCATATGTTGGGAGTTCGATTCCCCCACTGGGCCTCCTTGGCAAGGGCTGGACCTGATGACCTCTAGGGGTCCCTTCTGGCTCGGCAGTTCTAAGAATATATATTATCCTATGTATAAGGTTGGGAACCGCTGTTTTATCGCATCATGAGGCTCGACAGAAGGACCGTCTAAGAAAAAGTTGACACTTCTTAGGGCCCAATCCAGCCTAAAGTCAACCCTTCTTCCAATGGTTTCTTCCTCAAAATTTCTGGAAATTGGGAGATCCAAAAATGGTGAACTCCTTTCTAACCCCAAATCATGAATCACGCATCCTGCTTGGCCTTCCCTCCCCCACGCTGAAAGACGGGGATCGGCATGAGGTTTAAGTGACTCATCCCATTTTCAACAAAACCGGGAACTCTGCCCGGAAAGTGTGACGCCCGAGACACACACGCTCCTGATTTCAATCCATCTCTTCAAATCTTTGCAAACGTCTCCCCTTCTGCAAGGCGCCGACATCGTTTAGGATGACCCCAAACCAACGGTCAAAAAGAGCCTAGACTACACACACACACACACACCACACACACACACACACACACGCACACACACACACAGAGTAATTCAGGCAGCGCAAGTTCCAGAACACAAAAATATTCCATTTATTGTGATCCAAACTCTGCATATGAGGCTCATTTGCCTGCATATAGCAAAAAGCATCCGGATACGCACTGGGGGGGGGGGGGCCAAACAGAAACGCCATCCAGTTTTCTAACTGAAAGAACAGGCACCGGGTGTTAATATTTCATGCATCCCCAAGGATGGGGCACAAATGAAGCAGGGCATTTACTCAGTCACATGTTGAAAACAAAAAAAAACTTTTCCAGTTTCATTATTTTATTCTGGTTTGTTTCAGAATGTTTTTAGCTGGTTCGAGAGTCCACCGGAGGAAAAATAATGTTTTTTTCTAGATCAATTCTGCAGGGTCACACATCCCCTTTATGTGGGGAAAGTATTTAGCCAAAGCTGACACACATACAGTATATTATTCCGCACCTCAACCAAGAAAACACAACCGTGGGAAATTTTGGTTGCGGAAACAGTGAGCTGGCTTCTCAACTGGTGGAAATTTCACTGCTGTTGTGATATCCTTGTTATTTCTGCTTTTAGGGCTACTGTTTAGGTTCAGAAAACGAATTTCTTCTTTTAGCAGACACCCTGCCCTCTGCTTTGATCAAGGACGGAATATGACTTTTACACAAGTTTCTGAGCTCTGTTGACTCCTGAGCTATTGTGGAAAAGGACCACATCGAAGTTTCATATAACTTTGAAAAAACTGCCTTAAAATTATTCAGAACCCTAATTATTATGTAGAATATTTGTATGTTTTTATTTTAAAAAGGGAAACACCCTGGAATCTGACAAAAACTGGTTTTAGTGAGTGAAGTACAGTACACCTAAATTTAGAAAGCTGCCTTCTACCAGATTCAGCTTTGGGCCAATTTCCCCTTGTATAATCCATGCCATCTTCTCTTAATGTAGTTTATCACATCTGGATGCTTTCCAGATGTGCTAAAACTACCACTGCTATCTTGCACAGGGAACCCTTTTCTCCTGATCCGTCTGGAGTTTTCCAAGTCCGGATCAAGCCCTTTTCTGTCAGAAATCCTACAGTCTGAACCTGGGATATTCTACAGAAAAGTTTGTTATTTCAAACAAACAAACAAAAAGAGAGTAGGGAAAATTGGGTGGAAGGGATTTTTCTCTCTCTCTCTCTCCTTTGCTTCTATGCCATGTTCCACAGCTGGAAAGGTTTGCACCAGTGAAAAAAGATCATCCGAGACGCCCCACACTCTCGATAAGTGAACACACTCCAGACCCATCAGGGCCACGACGCAAGCCGTCGCCTGATCCCTGGCAGAAGGTGGACTAACTCATTCCGAGAGTCTTAGCCCAAATTGACCCCAGGCCACGTTGCCAGCCAACTTCGCTGATGCCAGCAGGGCATCGCCAGCCAATGTCCAAGACAGAGGAGGTCCTGGGGGGGGCAAAGAGCCTTCAGGACAGTCTCCAAATCTGGATGATTAGGGGTGCCTGCCCCTATCCAAAAGACCCTTCCCCCTTAAAAAAACCCACGGCCCCATCACCTCCACCTGTCGGGGACAGATCCCGTCCCGCCCGAAGCAAACCTACCCGGTAGTTCTTGGCCACCTCAGCCACGGGCTTCATCTTGTGGTCCGCGTGCTGCTTGGCGCTCTGGCACAAGACACAGACGGGCTCCTTGTCATCCAGGCAGAACAGCTTGGCCTCCTCGCCGTGCAGGGGGCAGAGGGCCGACGAGGCCTCGCCCGGGGCCGCCGGCTGCCGCTCCTGCTTGAGGAACATCTCCACGATGTTGGCCAAGGTGTGGTTGGTGCGCAGGTCTTCCACGGCGCAGGCCGCCTTGCACACCGGGCAGGCGGGGCGGGCCTGGCCATGCCAGGAGTGGCTCACGCACCCTCTGCAGAAGTTGTGCCCGCAGCGCAGGGTGACGGCCTCCCGGAAGGGCTCGTAGCAGATGGGGCACTGGAGCTCCTCCCGGATGGTGGGCATGGAGGGGCCGCCGGGCGAAGCCCCCGCCTTGGCCATCGGGGACCTGCAAAAAAGGGGGGGCAGAGAAAGAAAACACCAGGAGGACGGTGCCCGCTGCCCACCGCCCTTCCCTGTCTGTGCCCAGGCTTCTTCCAGCACCCGCCCAAGCGCTCAACCAGCGGCTGCCACTCGCCTCCAGCTGGTGACGCCCAGCTGTTGGCAGCTCAGGCGGAAAGGGGGGTGGCCCCCCTTGGCCCCGCCCCCTGGCCTGACAGCCTCCTGATCGACAGCACCTGTGGCCAATGGGGGTGGGAGAGAAAAGGGGGAAACCCCTCTGGAGCCCAGCTGGGACCGGGTGTCCCCAAGACTTCTGCCTTTCCCAAGCAGGAAGCGGAGCGTGGCCCGGCCCCCCCTCCCCCCCCAGGCAAAGCAGGGAACGGAGGTACGCGGGGTGGAGGGGGGCGGACCGCGATCCCGTGCACTGCTGGGCAGGTTTCCTCGGGAGTAAGTGGGCTTGGTTTCCAGTAAGA